CAGTGTTAGTAATAATAATGATACTGATCACAATAATAATCACAATAATAATAGTGATAATAATAAAAAAAGTAATAATGATCATGATAATAGTATTAATGATAATGATAGTAATGATACTGATAATAATAATAATAATAATAATAATAATGATTATAATAATAATAATAATGATAACGATAATGATAATAACAATGATAATAATAATAACAATAACAATAATGATGATGATAGTAAGAATTATAATAATGATAGTAATCATTATAATGATGATCATGATAATGATAGTGATGATGATAATGATAATAATAATGATAATGATAATAATAATGATGAAAATGATAGTGATAGTAAAAATAATAGTAATAGTAATTTTGATAATAATGATAATAATAATGATGTTAGTAATAACAATAACAATGATTATGATGTTATTAATATTGCTAATGATAATAGTGATAGCAATGATAATCGAAATTATGAAAATAAAAATGATAATGATAATGCTGATAATGATAGCGATGGTTACAATGATATGGATAATAGTAAAAATAATGATGAGATTAGTAATAGATGTTAAGATATGAATCATAGTGCTGAAAATGATAATCATATTAGCAATAATGATTATAGTGATAGTGATGATAATGATAAGGCTAGTAATACTTAGAATAATAACGATAACAGCAATAAGAACAGCAGTAGTAATGCTGGTGATAATGATGTTCCTATTATTAAAATATACATGGAGAATTATAAAAAGAAGAAATAAACGTACATTCATACAAATTAAGAAAATAGATGACCACGCCCACAGACGACCACCTACACACACACACACACACACACACACACACACACACACACACACACACACACACACACACACACACACACACACACACACACACACACACACACACACACACCACACACAAACCCAACCCACACACACTCACACATACACCCCCCTTCACCTGCACCCCCCCCCCAAACACCAACACCCACCCAACCCTCACCCACACCCTCACACAGCCGCGCAGAGCATAATGTCCCCTACCGCCCCCTGCAGAGAAAAAGGACCCGACACTCGTCCCCATCATCATCGGCGGTCGTGGGGCCTCGTCCTCATCGTGCTCGTTCTCATCTGCGTCGCCATCTATATCAAGGGCAAAAAGAGGGGCGATAAAATGCAGTCGTTGCAGGTAAGAACGGATAACGGAATCTGGAGAACACGTAAGAACGGGCAAGAATGGGTAAATGCAGTGGATAAGACACACATGAGGGTAATTATAAAATAAGTAAGAACAAGCATGAATGGATAATTGAAATAGATGAAGTCAAATGCGGAAGATTCAAGAACAGGTAAGAACCATGAATGGGTAAGATTCAAGAGCAAATACAAATAACTATGGTAAATAAACATGAACAAATATGTGGCATCAGAGAACAATTAAGTATAAACAGGAATGAGGAAGGGAAATTGATGCGAACAGAAAAGTGGAATGAGGGAATTTGGGTGTTTATGATTAAACATCATTACGTGTTTTATGTGTTTATGCTGTTAAATACTATAGAGTTGTCTTTTTGATTTATTAAACATTAACCATTTTCTCCTCATTTCTCCAAACAGACCATAGGATCTCAACCTCCAACTTACAGCTCCATACACTTCGAGAATTCCTTAGATGGCACAGCGATGTCGATGTCAAAGCGCCGCAACAACCAGTCGTAAGTATAATTAAAGGCATTGAAAATAAGCGATAAAGATAAACATATATATATATATATATATATATATATATATATATATATATATATATATATATATATATATATATATATATATATATATATATATATATATGTATATGTGTGTGTGTGTGTGTGTGTGTGTGTCCAATGTGTGTGAGAGAGTGTGTATATCCAAACTCTTAGAGTATTGATTGTTATAATCATTGCTGGCATTTTCGTGTTAGCTTGATTTCGTAACCTTATCCCTTCTAAACCATCCCTACACTCTGCTTTGTTGAGAGAGAGGCAGAAACGGAGAGACTGACGTAGATAAATAGATAGAGAGAGAGAGAGAGAGAGAGAGAAACAGAAACAGAGAGACAGATAAATAGAGACATAGACAGAGACAGACAGACAAAAATAGAAACAGAGGGAAGGATATAAGAGGGAGGGGGAGAGAGAGAGAGAGAGAGAGAGAGAGAGAGAGAGAGAGAGAGAGAGAGAGAGAGAGAGAGAGAGAGAGAGAGAGAGAGAGAGAGAGAGTGTATGTGTATGTGTATGTGTGTGTGTGTGTGTGTGTGTGTGTGTGTTGTGTGTGTGTGTGTGTGTGTGTGTGTGTGTGTGAGAGAGAGAGAGAGAGAGAGAGAGAGAGAGAGAGAGAGAGAGAGAGAGAGAGAGAGAGAGAGAGAGAGACTCCGTCCTCATGCCATGCTCTCCCTCCCGCCGCAGGGGAAGCCTTTCCTCCGGGGGCGCCTACTCTGACGAGGGGATCTACATCGAGCGCCGATCCACCGCCAGTGGCAGCAGGGGCAGGTCGGGAGGGTCTGTGGGCGGCTCGAGCGTGGACTCGGGCACGGGCGGCGAGGTCCCCGAACCCTTCAAGTACCAGAGCCCGACGAAGGAGGAGCTGGAGCGCTCGGGCCCCATCCCGGAGCACATCGTAAGTCACTGTCCTGGGTGTTTGGAGCGACCTCTTCCAAGGGAGGGATGAAGGAAGGGGGAGGAAGAGGAAAAGGGGAAGGGTGGGGAGGAGGAAGAGGGGGGGGGGTGGGGAAGAGAAAAAGGGGGAGAAATAGGGAAGGGTAGCGGGTGCAGAGAGATTATAGCAATGTGGAATAAAAGGGCGGTTTTGCTGAATTGCTTGAATTTCAGCCATCTTCATAGGATGACGTGTTAAGCAGAAAGATGTTAACTAGTTCATTAGTCTTAGTTATTACAGAAGTAATTATATTGTTTTCTCTATAAGAAATCATGGATGGCATAGATTTAAGTTCTGATATAATAGTAATGAATGTAAAATGCTCTTATTTTTGTTACCTAAAAGTGTGCATGTTAAATCGCGTACTTTTAGAAGGCACGAAATTATGATACAACCATTTATGAACTAGTTCCCACTTTCCTGTTGTATGTATTCGTTTTCTTTGAATTTACGCCTAGCGGGATGGGTAACTACTTTATCCCCTGAATATTCCAGGATAAAGCAAAGCGTGGCTTAGGTCACTGTGATGCACTTCTTCCTGGGAAACCTGATTATTTAACAGACCACGGTCCCAAGTTCCCTGATTGGCGAACTCGTGAATACCGGTTTTAATGCCGGTGGAGGTTAGTTTGAAGGAGAATGTCTCCTTTATCTATAACGAGCTAGTTTCGTATCCGCAATAGCTTGCAGTCGGGTAGTTTGGAAGACCTATCCGATCTTGAACTCTTTATTTTGGCTGGTTAAACGAGTAGCTGTAGTAGTCTTGCAAGATTCCTCGTCTATAAGTTGGCTGATCTGCTCTGTCTCCCTTTGAGCCGCCTGCAGTACAGCTTAATTAAAGTGAAGGAACGCGGGTATCATTTTCAAAATCTTTGAACCCAGTAGCGGCATCGTAACTCAGAGAACGCCGAGATCAATTTCAATTCGTCTTTCAACAATATTTTGTAAGAGGTTGAGAATGTATACCCTGTTTCTGAACTCTTAGAGTATTAATTGTTATCATTACTGCTGGCAGTTTTAGAGTTAGTTTAGTTTCGTAACCTACTTCCTTCTCCGACTTTCTAAATCATCCCTACACTCTGCTTTGTTTCCCTCCCATTTCTGGATTTAACTAATTTCCCGATTCTTCCCTTCGCTTACATTCTTCTTTCTATTTGCATCATCTATCGTTCCTCATGTTTTTCCCTCCTTGCTTATCTTCACCTCTCTTTATATTCCCTTTCGTCTGGCCTCTACGCCTCCTCCCCCCCCCCTACCCCCTCCCCACTCCTTTCTTTACATCTCGTATCTTACATTTCCTTCATGTCTTCCGAAATTGGACTAGCGATTAGCTTCATTATGCTTTAATGATCAACCAACATTACCGCTTTTACTTCGATGTCGAGAATCCGCCTCTCTCAAAGCCTTCATTAATTTCTTTTGTCTGTTTTTTTTCTTTTTTTCATTTCTTTTCTTTGTCTATTTTCATCTTCTGATTGTGTTTTCGATCTTTACTTTCTTGTGCCATGGTTGCGTCTTGGTCTCCTTTTGTTTTTTGTTTTTTATTTCATCTTCATTTTTTTTCGACTTTTTTATTCTCTTCACTTTTACTTTTGTTATTATTGATATGGTGATGATGATTATAATGATGATGATAATGATAATGATGTCGTAATTATAATTATAATAATGATAATGATAACGCTTATGGTAATGATAATAATTCATGATGGTGACAATAGTAACGATGGCAATAATGATAATGATAACAATAATGATAATGATAAAGATAATGTTAATGATGATAATGATAATGCTAAAATGATAATGATAATAATAAAGCTATTTATAAAGGTAATAATAATGATAATAATATAATGTAATAGTAATGATACTGATAATAATGATAATGATAACGGTAATGATAATGATTAAAGTAAGAATGAGGTTGATAACAGTAATTATGATGATGGCAATAATAATAATGACAATAATGATAATAGAAGTAATAATAATCATGATAACAATTATTGATGGTAATAATCGTAATTATAATTATAATAATGATGATAATGGTAATAATAAAAATACTGATAATGCTAATGATATTAATGATAATAACAATAGTAACAAGGATAATAATCATAAATATTATCATTATCATAAAAAAATAACATTTGTAATGATAGCAAGAGTAATGATAGTAATGATAATGAGCATAATGATAATGGTAATGTTAATAATGGTAATGTTGATAATGATGATAATCATAGCAATCTTAATAATTATAATTATAATTGTAATAATAATATTAGTGATTAAAATAATGATAATGATAATAATGAAAATCATAATAACGATTACAATTATAGTAATAATGATAATACTGATGATGGCAACAACAATAATAACAGCAATAATAATATTAGTACTAATACTAATAATGATAATAATGCAAATTATATCAATAACGATAACGATAATGATAAGAATGAGAAAGATGATGGTGATGATTTTGATGGTGATGATTTTGATAATGATGAAAATTATAATAATAATTATAATAATAACAACAATAATAATAGTAGAAATTATGATAATAATAGTAAATATAATAGTAATGATAATAAAAAATAAGGATAATAGTGATAATAAAAATAATGATAATGATAATTACATTAAAGTTAAATAGAAATCATGATAATGATAACAATGATAAAACTGATAATAATAAGGATTATGATAATTAAGAGGATAATAACAAAAACAACTGCAACAACAACAATAATGATCATGATAATAATTACTATTATTAGCATATTGATAATAATGATATTAACAATACCAATGATAAAAAGAAAATAACAACATTAATGTTGTTAAGGATAATAATGCTGATAATAATAATAATAATAATAATAATAATGACATCAGTAATTAAAATAATAATGATGATGATAGCAATAGTAATAGTCATGTTATTAATAGTAATATTAGCAATGACAATAATGATGATAATAATAATGGAAATAGTAATAATAATAACAATAATAATAATGATTATAATGATGATAAATGACAATGATAACAATGATGGTAATAATAATGATGAGGATAATGATAATAGCAATAATGACAAAAATTATATCAATACTATTACGATTATTATTTTATTATTGTCACCATTATTAATGTTATCATTATTTCTTTTATCCACTTAATGTTATTATGACAAAGATTCCATTGTTATTATAAATATTTCATTTGTCAATATCATAAGGATATTTTTCACTTTATAGCGTTACCATGTACCTTCTCTTTCTTGTTTCCCTAATTCCTTCATTTATTTTTGTTTACCTTTACTCCTCTTTTCGAGAGCCTGCTCATATTGAATATTTTGACGGGGCATTTAAAATGACATATATAAAGGAATGTTTTACACACTTTTTGGGGTGGTAAGAAGTCGTTGGATATTTTTTTATCATTATTTTATTAATAAAGATTATTTCTTCTATCAGATTTCCCCCTCCGTTTCCTTTTATGAGTTCTCTAACCTCCATCTTCTCCGATTGGTTATCACTTCCATCATTGCAATGTTGCAGTTGGAGAAGATCCACACGAGCGTGGACGGCCTCCTGCCCGGCTCCCCGGCAGACCCAGTCACGGTTCGCCACAAGTGGTGAACCCAACAACCCTTAGGGCAGTTCGCATAGCATAGCTGTTTCTACGTGTAAGGTTCATGGCGGAAACCCAGAGAGAACCTTCTATTTATTTGTTCTCTCTCTCATTAGATGGATGTATTTTTCTTATCTTTATAGTTAGATCATTAAATGGGATATGCATACGTCTAAATTCTTATTTTTCTTTCACTTATCACCGAGGCTTCGAGTATCTTCACGCAACGAATGTTATCATTGTTATCATTTCTATTAGACTAGAAGGTCCGTTCGCCGTGTCTTTGTTTCACACAGTAAAGATGTTTAAGCATTGGATATTGCTTCCTGCTGAGGTCCAACATTTCTTTTTCGCTGGCCCTCACTGTGTCTCTGAATAAACATCTCTGAATTTCTCGGCACAGCTAAGTCTTCAGAATCTCAAAGTAGCTGAAGACCGTTTCATTCTTCTGTACCATCAACCTTTTCAACCTGTGTCTTGCATACTCCTCTCTCTTCAACCTTTACTACAGCCTTGACCTATTCCGAAATGACCCACAAATGTTACTTTTTTCTAATATCCTTAGCTTGATCAACATAATATCCTTTTATCCTGGGCTTGTAGGCATAAATATATGTTTTTATTCGTAGCAAAGCACCTAAAACCTTTAACATCCTCTCTTTGAGGAAATTAAGTTTCAATAGGTTTCTGAAAACAATTCTACATCATACATTTTAACCAACAAGGTACACTGCATACTATTAAATGTTACTCTTGCTCGCAGGAACTAGCTCGTGGCTTGACCCTCCTTATGTCACAAGAACTCGCCTTGCCTCTAACCTGAAGCATTGTAACCCAAACTAAGCATGCGGTATAAAATGTTAACTTCTGAGCTTTCTAGATGTATGTCCATTACTCCAGTACCTTTAACTTCTTTATTTATTATTTTTTGACAGTAGCGTTAAGGCATGGTAAGCAGATTTCTTGCTTAGGTCAGGTCGTCTAACCTGGCCTTGCATGAGTAGGCTAGGTAATTACACCAACATACTTTTTCCCGGTGTTAGTGAATATCACTTTAGGAATCAATCATAATAAAGCAATTTGATTTTTCAGTCATGAAATCAACTTCAATCGAGAATTAATATTTCCAGGTT